GCAGCCTTGCTGCACTGTCTGCAGTTGTGCAACCCTGCAGACTAATCACATTAATGTACAGCTATATGAATGGAGCTATTTTTTACACCAGTGCTTCTCTAAATAAAGCAACACAGTGATCCTCACAGGGTGCCTGTGGTAGCAATACAGTCTTTTCAAAAACTGAGGAAGAAAAACAAGTAGGCCTCTGTGAGGGGAGCTTTGACCTCAAATCAGAAAGAGGTCAGTGGGATTTTGTTTTGAGAGGCTAAAGCTATTTTTGTCTATTCATGTAATTTTGTTTTTTGGATAGTAATAGTGTGATTAGTGTTGTTGTTTTTTATGAGAGAAACAATGCACCCAAGAAAAAAGGATGCATTGTACATAAGTATTTTCTGTTTGCCTCCAAAGGTTAGGGCTGGGACAAAATAATGTGACGGCTGCCATTTGGTTCCTGTTTTTCAGAAGGATTATGTAAAGACTACAGAGCTGAATTTTCACAAACTTCGTAAAAAAAAAAGAAGAAAAAGGAGAAAAGGAATAAGCCATTAGACTTTAGTCTGGATTACTTTCTTTTAAATTACAAAGCAGTTCATTGGCCCAGGCTAAAGATGCACTCTCAGATTGTGTTTAGTTCTCAATAACCTGACTGTATTAATTACTCACATTTACATACAAAGTTGGCTGGCTTTATGCTTTAATTTAATTATTATTCAGTTCTGAGGGAGTCGATGCTTGACAGTTTCTTTGCCTTATTGCTCTGCCTGCCCCTCCTGCCCCCATGCCTCTCCACAGGGCTTACTCTCTGTCATAGAGAAACTGAAGGGATCCACAGAGCAGGAGGTCAGGATAGTGCTTCTAGGATTGGACAACGCTGGCAAGACCACCCTGCTGAAAAGCCTCGCCTCTGAGGATGTGAACACTATCACGCCAACGCAGGTGAGAGGAAGTTATGTGTTCAAAAAGCAGTGTGCATCCGCTCTATAACATTAGAACACATGCTGATCATTGTGTTTTCATCTCCTTGTTTAAATCAATTCAATTTTAACATAAGCAGTCGATGCTCATTATTATATGTATATCAAGTGAAAAAAGGTCCGTCTGTGAGCAGTTTTCCATCAATACTTTGTTAATAAGCAGTTTACCATTAAAGCTCTTCTGAATACTAAATATAATGTAATAAATGTAATAAAATGTAATTAAAAATACAAAACATTGGAAGATGGTTTGTATTTTCATGATACTGTAGCCAAGCATCATAACAGGTGAGAGGATCGTGTCTAACCTTGCAATATCTGCTAAATCAGAGCACATTTGAAGTAATGAGACTCAGATGACCCTTGTTTTCCTGACTCACACAGTAAAATGCAATCATTGGCCTCACACCACACATGCTTTAACCAGATTTGTCAGATCACGCTGTTACACTGTTAAATAACCCTTCATCGCGAGATAAACTGTAGCCCGACATGACCTTGTTGATTTGCATGCTCTCCACACATTTTCTGAGAACATCCTGGTTGGCGTTATGACTGCTTCTCTCTCTCCTTTTCTCTTTTTTTTCTCTCATCTCCCTCTGATGTATTTATCTAAGCTCTAATGTCGTTATCTAATGACCTTGTATTACTCTACCGAGACAAGCCAACACTGAGTTGATGTACTGCCAGGTCCGGTACTGGGCAAGTGTGAAAGCTCATCAGACACCAGGGAGGGAGGACGCAGTCCAGTATGGCAATAGTCGACACAAAGCTAAATCAGACGTGACACATGAACACATACACTTACCTTGATCCTTCGAGTCTTATCCTCAGATTTGCTCCTCGGATGGCCCTCGGGATAAAGTTGTTATACAACTTTGCCAACTGAAACAGAGGTGTTGTGTTATGAAGAGCAACCATATCCTTATAAACAACTGAGTGTAACCACTGATCAAGTACAGTGACACTTCATGAATTACCTTATCAGGTGGAAACAGCTTTTAAATTGAAGGCAGGGCAGTGACTCTAGGTGCTGTGTTTTTTCTTAAGGGCTTCAACATAAAGAGTGTTGCCTCCCATGGGATGAAACTTAACGTTTGGGACATCGGAGGACAAAGAAAGATCAGGCCCTTCTGGAAAAAGTATCTGGAAAACACAGACTTGTTGGTGAGTAGGTCACTTTAAGCCATTTTAAATCAATAACACAGTAAAGTAGAGAAGTTTTATGTTATTTTAATATCTTTTTAACCCTCAGGACACTATCCCACATATAAGCAGAGATTAAACACTTCTTTAAGGATGTTTTGGACATGATGTGACCACATTCTTCTCTAGTATTTTTTAACAATAATTTCTTGCAGATAATAAAATGTAAACTTTCAGAAAATGTGGATGTGATAACACTGTAACATGTCTCTTCTTTTAGATTTATGTTATTGACAGTGCGGACAAGAAGCGTTTTGAAGAGACGGGGCTGGTGAGTGTCTAAACCCTTTTACTAACAGCCTTATTACTAACGGTAATGCTATTGTGCACAAAATAGAATCAAAAGTTGCACCTATGTGTGTATGTGCAGGAGCTGTCCGAGCTGACTGACGAGGAGAATTTGAAGGGCGTTCCGCTGCTCATCTTTGCCAATAAGCAGGACCTGGCCACAGCATCACCGGCCAGCGAGATCGCCGAGGGGCTCAACCTGCACACGTATCGGGACCGCGAGTGGCAGATTCAGGCCTGCTCTGCTGTTTCTGGCGAGGGAGTTCAGGTCAGACCTGACTTTGATTTATTGATTTCTCCCTCATATGGAATCTAATTGGCAACAAATGCTTTGCATGTCCCTCCTTTATTCACTGGGCCCACAATCAATTGAAACAGAGACCCTGTTTCTTTCAGTGAAGTCTTTAACGTGATTAATTTGATGGTTTTGTGTTGTTTTCCATGCTTGGATCGTTTGGATCATTTTCTTTTGTCTTCATTTCTCCATTAGGATGGGATGGACTGGATTTGTAACAACATTGTGAATAAGAAGAAGTGAATCATCATCCCAAGCAAAACCGATCGGAGTGAAACAGTGCAGAGATCACATAAGGGAATTTTTAAAAAATATATATGTTTCATGTAATATCTCCAGACTTCACTTATAACAGATTCAGCTCCCCTTACAGATTTAAAAAACAAGTTTATTTTTACAATTTCTGACATTTTTATGCAAAATTAGCCAATATAAAGACACATTTTAGCCCCAGTAAGTCAATTAGGCATACATTGGTCATTCTTCCGTCCTTAAAAAATATATTTTTGTTCCCTCTTTTATCCTCGTCTCTTCAAACTGTGTGCTTTCTTGGGGGAAGGAAAAGCTGAGTGTGTAGTTATGTAGTGGTCTGTCAGTTACACAAACACCAGCTCAGTGTGAGTGTAATGTATGTGTCATGAGATTTTTAACAAATAAAACAATTAGTCATTTCTGCCATTGTGTTTCCTTGTTTTCAAATCAAATGTAGCCATCAGTAATCAGATTGTCCAAGCACGAATGCATGCATGCACAGACAATAAAGGCATTTACGGGTCAGATAATAGCTGTCAGTGACAGAAACACACAAATGTGACTGTAAATCATCTCCTGAGTGACAAGAGGAACAATAACGAGCTGATCTGCCCCTGCTCAGCTGTCATCTTGCTTTTATTTCCACTCTACGATGACAAGCACTTACACCGTACAGTGAGTGAGGGGCTCATTGAAAAGCGAGAAGTTGGAGGGAAGAGGGTTTACAATTACACACTCACATTGCGTGGCAGAAGAAGATATCAAATCTTTGAGTCACAGCGGAACAACAGAGAGAAGGAAATTACACAGAGAGGGGTTGTCTACATTTTCGGCAGGGATTCTTTTTCTTCAGATGTTTTCTATGTTAATTCCAAGACTTTTGTATTAGCGTGCGACCTGTCTAGCTGCTCTAACGGTGGTGGTTGGTCATATGACACATCTCACATCCAGCTGTGAATGCACGGCATTCAAGCAGAAATGCATATAGTCTCATCTACTATTCAAGTTCTGTCTTGAGATGTGTTAAAAAAAAAGGTACTTCCTGAATCAGTTAATCTGTCCTGGTACTCGAGCAGTTACCCCTGTGGTCATTCTCCACATATTTGTCCTTTACGCTGACCTTGGTGTAAGCTAAGTCCTCTATTCAGCCATTTTGGCCCTGCTTTTGCTGCAGTTGGATTTAATGGATCTTTTCTTTCTATTGTTTGGAGCTGCAATTAGCCATCTGAAAGCACTCTAAAATCACATCAGCTGGCAGGCTTTACTCCGTGTGTTCTGCTCTGCATTAAATTATGCAAATTAATATCCCCCACCCACCCCTTTTTTTTGTTTTGTTTTTTTTAGTCTGACATTTTTGAGTAGTTCTGAAAAATTAAATGTATGTTTGTTTACTTGGTAAGTGTTAACAAAATGCTAGATGTTGGCTGATTAAGTGAGTCATCTCCATGGTGACTAATACTGGAGCAAGCCTGAAAACATTCAATGTCTTTTGAGGGAGCACAGCAGGGGTGTGTGGGACCAATTACAAGTTGTACTAAAGAACCTTATGGCAGTCTGAAAGGGACCAGACAGTGCAGGGGCTGGGAGGGCGTTGAGTTCTTTTCATGTACAGTCTTTGGTGGAGAAATGAGGTTTGCAATGGACTTTTCAGTGCTGCTTCTTTCGCCCACAGGTGGCAGCATTAGAGGGTCGGATCACTCTTGTGGCAGACGGGGAGTCCTCTATTTGCACATAAGTGATCTGACACTCTCTAATTCCTCTGATTTTGTTTGCTGTTTGAAAGGTCAAGTGTGATTGAGCATATGCTTTTATTGCTTTCTGTAAATACAAAATAAATTATGTATTTCATTCAGGTTACTGGGCAACAATTTAGTGGCTTTACCTCTGGATTGTTTAAAATGTAAAAATCTCCTAATTTCTATACAATAAAACGTGTTTTAATCTTAAAGAGACATGATGTCACTCTCATGCAAGTAGCCCCTAGGCAAGTGTTGCCATAGCAACCATCCCTGTTATCCCTGGTCCAGAAGCAGCTGCTGCTCTTCCTCGGTATAGCCCTTTCTCTCTCTCCCTTCCTTCATTTCTTTCATTTCCCCAAAGCTCGCCTTACCTCCTTTACCAAGGAAATCCTGAATCCTGCACAGAAACTGGACCACAACACTGCAACTACACACTGCAGGTAGGAATCAAAAAACTTTTTCTGTGTTTGGTTGTCTGTGTGTTCATTAACCTGCCAGTTTAAAAATACAGAACAGAAAGCTAATGTTTACATTTGAAAGGGTTAACAATTTACAAAATGTCATTACATTAATAGAGATTCAAAATAACTGTTTCTATTGCCAAATGTTGTCTTTTCAACAGGTTGGCTTATCACTGCATATACTGTATGCTTATCTTGCTTTTAAACTCCACTTGGATTCATTTTACGCTAGTTAAAATGTTTTGTTGTTTGTTTGTTGGTTGGTTTGTTTAAGGCCACAACAAAACCTTCCAAAACCCACTGACGGAACATATCCATCATGCCAGAAGACGCCTACCTGTCTTCCATGAAGCCGCCCTTCCCAACACTCACTCCCCATCCCAGGTTTGACGCGAGCCCGACAGCTTTCAGCCTCCTGACCACCACAGCACTTCTGCCACGTGAGCGCTTTCACATAGAAGGATCCACCCTCCTGATTGTGGTCATTTTTTGCGTGGTCTTTGTCCTGCTCCTTTCAGCCTTTTTCTACGCCTTCTGCTTCCATTGCTCCATCAGTACGTCGCTTAAAGACTCGCATGCAGATAACGGATGCAGCCTAGATCATGAGGACGCCACATATAAGTGCAGCTCATCTGATAACCAGTCAGTAGGGAATGTTGTCTGACTGTGATGCCAGACCAAGATAATTGTCATGTGGTTGTGATTAAGCTTTCTTGGGAATTTCCTGCAGTAGCAGTGCAATGAAAGCATAATTCCAAAACAGTATTGTTAGTAGGATTCCTCCTAAGCTCACATGAGTTTAGGTAAGACGAATCCAAATGCACTTAAATGTCATAGATCCATAGCTATTGTGTCCAATAAAAATCTGTTGAATATATGTATAATATATGTGCACATGAGTCTGAATGCCACTGAATCACAAGAAAAACAATAATAAATGCATTGGCACCCAGCCCAGCAGCCATCGTGCTTTATTTTCACTGAGGTGACAGGTGATTTTATTGTGCCACTGCTGTGTGTTTCTAACAAATGAAAGAGAGAAAGGAGAAGGGACAGGGTGGGGGGAGAGAGGTTGTTTAAAGGGTGAATCAAGACATCACATTTGGATGCAGCAAAAACAAGGAGTGCAGGAAATTACTGAGCTTGTGTCTGGCTGGAAGACACAAGCTTACAGAGCTTTAGTGGCTGAAACTGAGACTTGTCTGTTCAGTCGTGAAGCAAATTAACACTAATAATAAAATCAATTTGTGCACTTTTGGAGCTTAATGAATTATTTCCATATTGGAAATTCAACACCACATGAGGTCACTAGTAATTCTGAGCATTACAGCTTATATACAGACATCAACACAAGATGATCTTCATTATCTGTCATTTATAGGCTAATATTCAGCATTCTGAATTCTACGTGACTGCATTTTAGCTTCGATTGCATTACTATCTTATGATTCATGATAAAGAGCACATGGCACTTTTGGAGCAGCGGGAACCACAGTGTCGTCTCTGTCCTCTGACCCACGCGAGTCCCAATCAAGGTGAGAGTCCTGGAGACCATCATTATAGTAAGACTGGAGAAGGAAGACGTTATTTAATCATCCTAATAACAAAACAGCAAGGTTGACTCAACTGTGTATATATGAAAAGCAAAAGAAAAAAATCTTTTTATTTAATTCAGCAATTTAAAAATTCCAGCACCACAGTTTTTCTCTCAACTCATGAACAGTTATCTCCTCCATCCTGCTTTCCTTCAACGAGTCCCCAGAAAATGGCCTGAAATCTCCATTTTCATACGATGAGAGCGAACATAGTTGACATCATCCTTGTCTTCCCCTGGTACCAGTGGGAAAACCTGAGCGCAGAGACAGAAAGAGCCTCGAGGAATCAGAGATAATGACTGTGGCAATAAAGCAAATGAGAGTGCGCACCATTCAAGCGTGTCTCAGCCGAACCTTTACCGGTCCCTGCTCATCCCCTGTGGCCTCAGGGTCCAATATGGTGGCCTTGCTGATGGCTTTACTGATGGTCCTTGTCTCAAACTGAGGACACGCTGCCTGAGCATTACAATGCTTGTCCATTTTGCCTTTCAGCCACTATGTTTCTATTTCAACATTGCCTTGTAAATGTACAAAGGGAAGAAAAAAGAAGAGAAATTTGATGGTTTTTGTTGTTTTTTGGGGGGGGTTTCTACCATAAATGTACCTAACATACAAACTTATATTCAAAGACAGAGATTCACAGGCACAATTTCTGCTTTGGAAGTGAAATGGCAGCTGCCAGATTCTTAGTTCCCTGATGAAAAATGAATTGCTGTTGCTTTCTTGAGATTGGTGTGTGTAATCAGGTGCCTCAGAAACCTCTGGGAGTCACTTTGCCGGTATTATCGCTGAATGTACAGCCTCAAAGTCGGGCTCACTGATAAAGCAGTAAATCAAGAAGCAAACTGCAATTACCAGCTGTGAATACTGAGTGTGCTGACTCCCCAGAGCCAAAACATTGTCAGTTATTATTATTTCATGTGTTTCTGAGGTTCATAAATGTTTATCCTTTCTGTTTGCTGGTAGGCATCCATTAACACAAATGAAACCCTCAGTCTTTGGGTCTCATAAGGCCTGTCCACAATATCCAGGCATGCCCGTTATACTTTTCTAAACATTCAGACTATTTAATACTGTTACGTCGTTGCCTCATCCTCTGTTTTTTGAGACCTGTGTTCTTATTTCTGTCATTTGCTACTTTAAACAATTTCTTGAGGTAAATTGTATTGAATTGATTTAAACTATGATGCGTATTTGTTCCACAGCAATAGATAATTGATTACATGTTTCTGTAATGGCTCGTTATGCGCAACAAATGAAGTAGGTGTCGTTGCTATGGGGAGAGTTTTGATCGCTGACCTTGATGCTAACGATGCCCCTCCTTTCAGACATGAGGTGGCTTCCTTTCAGGTGCTTGTAGGAGGCACTGCTTCGCTGAATGTGCAGCTCCTGATTGACAGAGTCATCAGTCCCCAGAAAATCCCCCAAATTACCAACAATAACTAAATAAAGACATTCTGACTATACATACATACTGAGCAAGGAACATTTCCACACTGACAAGTTGTGGAACTGGTACAGTCTAAACCTGATTTGTGTATTTTTTTTCAGTTATTATTATCATGCACAGACTTTTATTTTTGTGGATCTTTTTTTTGCAAGAGTTGGCTAGCAACAATCCACCATGACTGAGACACCTGCAGTGATGAATAGCTTCTAGCCAATGACCCATTTCCAGTTGCTTGTCATACATTCATTAAAGCATTCTTTAGAAAGCTGTGATTCTATCGCCTCTCCCTTAATTTTCCAATAATATTTCCTTTAACTACCCTAAGCTTCCTAAAATTAATAAATAAATATGTCTACTACCATAATTAATATTACAGAATTTCTTTATTTTAAGTTAGCATAACTTGTATTAAATTGTATTTGATTGTTGTCACCGGAGTTTACGCAGCTTCTACCCACCAAGAAAAAATGGTATGTTTTTGCTGTTAGATTGGTCTTTGAGGTGATCTATGGAGTGCATCATGTCTAAGGCCATGTCACAGCAACTACCGTGTCTGCATCTCCACTGTACTCAACCTGCATAATAAAGGACAAGTGTTCTTACCCAAACACACTTGGGTATAAAGTGCTTTACAATAAGAAAGAAAAAAGTTAAAGATGTGTTGTGTCACACTGAGCGTGTCAAATAGGGTGTACATGGTGTTGAGCATGGAGACCACCTGCCTCAGTGTGATGTGGCTACAAATGCGAGTAAATCCCTGCATCACTGAAGAGGAAGGTCACATCACGGAAAACCTGGGAGAAAAGACACAAAGTGTCTGGGAACTCTTCACAATATAAACAGCTCAGTTTATGCTTTAGTAAATGCTAGACTGGAGATGTAATGAAAAAAAAATTTGACTTTTTTAAGTGCTTCATACATGCGTGTGAGTTAGAGTAAGTGCACAGAGCACACATGTCTCGGGGCCTTCTTCACTCCCTAGCGCAGCCACAGCAAATCATGCTGTTATGACAGCTACCCTCAGTACTCCCCTCTTCATTATAGATGGACCATTTTCTTTCATCTCAATTTCTTTTAGAGTTAATTAGAGCCAATTAAAGGCAAGTATTTAAGGGCAGCGTCTGTATCCTAATATTGATGAGGCAAACTGAGTCCGCTGAAGACATTGTAAAATTTATCAAAGTTATGCTGGTAATATATATTCACTTACCTTTTTCTGTGGAAGAAGAAGAAACATTTCTTTGACATGGAGCCACATTTTTCACCAGAACATTTGTAAACAAATGACCTTTTATTACCTTCAAGGTTTCTTTCCCAGCATGTTGTACAAAGACAGTACCACCTGTGTGCAATAATAGTTAGCTTAGCTTGGTACAGACAGTAGAAAAACAGCATTTTCTAACAGCCGAAGTGTTCACAGCCAGCTCTCCTTTCTGCATCATCCTGTAAAGAAGGTCTTCAGTCTTCTTCATCTCATAGTCCAGCAACTTCACGCTCTCCTCCAGCTTACTCGACTGCCTTTGCTCCTGGTTTTCCCCAGTGAGAAGAAAGAGAGAAAAAGTATTAGTTTGTGCAAAAGGTTGGTAAACTGGTTCTGCTAGACTGAAAGCTGGGCTTTAGAGCAACTTTGCATAATACAGGTTGACAAGCGAGCCGATCACTCATACAGAATACAGCTGCACTTTAGCACCAAGTACCTGTATGAGAGCTCTCTTTAGCTCCTCTCACTGTTGTTGCGTTCCCTCCAGCACCAGGTCTCTGCTCGAGTCGTGCAGCCTCAGGTCGTTGATGTACAAGCCGGTCTTAAACATCACATTGAGGCTCTCCAACCTCCACATGCAGTGAAAGACAGTGGAGGTGGAAAAATACATTAATTAACAATGATAGTGGTAGTTATGTGTAATAAAATCAAATTATACTATCATTACTTATAAAATTATAAAAACTGTGATCATGGGATGCATTATTATTTTTATTTTTTTTCAGTTTCCTGCAACATTAATAATGTAAGCAGTGTGGTGTGGCATTTGATATTTCACTAGCTTTGTCAATACAGGGATAAGGGCATTTTGCTTGGAAAACAAAATGTTTTAGAAGAGGAGGGGGGTGTTTTTGTAATGTACTCAGTGGAAAACACTCTCAATTGCAAATGGGTTCCCATTAGGCTCACAAGAGCTGCACTGTCTGATTACAAGCTAATTAGCAGCTCATTTCATGCATGGTAAGTGCTGTTAGAATGGGCCTCTGATTTGATTCACTGCCCAGGCTTTTATTTCTCACTCGTAATTCACTTTAGCTCTTGCTGCTTTTTAGAATGTTTTACTTTTCAACTGCAGCCTTTTAATAAAGTTCTCTTTCTGTGTGTGTGTGTGTGTGTGTGTGTGTGTGTGTGTGTGTGTGTGTGTGTGTGTGTGTGTGTGTGTGTGTGTGTGTGTGTGTGTGTGTGTGTGTGTCTTTGGAGGTGAACGTGAGGCTTTATACAGGGGTTCCCAGGAAGATGATGGACTCCCACTCTGGCATGTATCTCATTTGTCCTTTTAGTTTGAGGCAGCAGCTCCCATCACTCCAGCTCTCCATTGCATTAGCACTGTTACCGCCTAAAAGAGGGGCAATCAAACGGTGAGAAAGCAAACATTCAGAGAGGTGTTTTAGGTTAGATTTTAACTGTAGATACTCAGCAGTACATTTCAGCGGGGGATAATGGTTTGCACACTGTGATAACAATGTCATCTTAATTTAATGGACTTAGCATTTTTTAAAAGAGTAGTTTGACATTTGGGGAAGTAGTTTTATTCATTTTCTTGATGGCAGTTTGATGAAAACAGATAATACCCTCATATCTGTGTGTTCAGAGTGAAGCTGGATACAACAGCTTGGCATAGGAAGCGCTAACTGAGAGAAAGCTTGCCTGACTCTGTCTCAGCTTTTGTTCTGGGCTGCCTTTGGACTTCAGAAACTTTCTACTGGCTCCAGTTTCATGTTGAAAAGAAAAGAAAGAGGTATTGAAAATATATATAAATATTTTGAAGAACCCAACGAGTCTCGCCATACATTTTTGCGAATAACAGAGAGGACTTGACCTTTATAATCATCTCCGATGACAGACTGGTAGGCCATGATCTCCACATGTACATCAGCAGAGCAGCTGACATTTTCATAGTCAGAATCTGCGGATAAACAAGCTGAAGCACTGAGACTCATGAACGTGTTTTACCCGGGCTTGGATCAGGTCAAATAAATTCAGTCAATTGAAAACATCAAAGAGTTGAATTTCTGCAACTGCAGGACCTCAAAAATTTGATTCCACTCTAGGTGAAATATTCATTCCCTTGCACAAGAACAGACAGTTTAACAGTTTAACTGCACACTTCTTTAAAAGAATGAAATTTAAATAGCCAGGCACTACTTTGTGTCTGACTACAGTATATCTGATTAAACCACAAGTCCTCTAAATCAGACACACACCCCTGTGACTGTTTACAAGCTTCGGTCTTGGTTTGATGGTTCCTCTCGCTTAGCTAGCTGCTTGAATATGATCTGAAACAGATTTTTGGGATTGGAGATTATCTGTTTACACAATACTAGATCAGTATTCTGAATAGCTCATATTTTAAAGACTACATTGTAATCTAACTAGTGTCTAGTCTGAACTTTATTTGCTGTTAACAAGAACATTGTTGCCGTCTGAAATTTCTCACCATGTTCCAGGTGAACTCCACAAGGGGGCGAGCCACCAAGAAGGTTTCATTGAACTTCTTTCCATCCAGATCAGGGAAGACTGTAGCCAGGCTCGAGCCAACATTTTGCACCACCATGTCCTAAATCATTTAAAGGATCAGTGAGTGTGTCTTCATTTCATTCCAGACTGCCAGCGGTTATATAAAGAGGGGGCAATTTAAAATAATTACCTGTCTGTTAAAGGGGAAGACCTCAAAGAAGAAGTCAGAAGTAATGGGAAAGGTTTTCTGCTTTTCCTCATCCTCTTTCATGATGTGCCGGTAGGCTGAGTTATCAAAGTTCAGCCTGTGTAGTGAAGCAGATGAGTGCTTTTTTTAAAAGTTTAAAGTTAAGTTTTCAAAAAACTGTGTTGAAAGAAGCATGAAGATCTTAACTTTAGAAAAAGGCAGCGGGGCATGAGGATTTGGTAACCACTGATTTCATGTTTTTATATTATATCTTAACTGTCACTTCCAAAATACATGCAGAAAAAAAAAGTATCCAGTTGCAATAAATGAAAATAAAGAGTTCTTCCCACCACTTGATCTTCTATGTTTTTCTCTGTTTCCACACCTCATGGTAACATGGGAGTAGTCCCCAGTCATCTGCTCACAGAGCACCTCCACATGGATGTCAGTGTCATAAAATTGTTTCCACATCTGCCTCAGCTGACCCCTAGCAAAGTGTCCTATCGCTTACTCCTGCAGGGGACAGACAAAGAAAATCTAATGTCTTTCTAAAGAGATTAACCACGCAGCATTTCCTTGTCTCTACTCCAGCTTTTATGTCTGTTATGTCTCCTGTCTGCCCCAGCCCAACGCTGCAGTCAGTCCCCAACCACCTCCCCACCCCTGCTGTAGCAGACCTGTAGTGGAGGGTCACTCCTCCTCCTGGCAGAAGAAGGTCGGCGGCTGCACCTTGGGGTAGCAGGTATTCGTGAAAGTTATCAAGGCCATTGACAAAGTCACGTATGTGTCGGCACAGCACTTGGATGGAGAGAGAATGACTTTGGAAACCCTTTGTAATGTGCCCTGCAACAAAGCGTGTAATCCCTTTGTAAGTAACTGGAAATTCATTGTATTTTATTTGAATTTTAATGTAATTATATTTACCTACAAATACTTTAAGGTAGGTACACTAGAATAAGGGGGTGACAAGTCAGGTTTTTCTGGAAACAAATTAGAGTGTAATTACATTTAAGTACATTCTAGGTTGTTTTAAGTGATGCATAATTTCATGGTAATTTTGCTGAAAAACAAGATTTCCTCATCGTACATCATAAGTAAGCTGTAATTCTCAGAGCACAGGCCGTATTATGGACTGGATTAATTTAGCCTTTTTACATCTTTATTTTTTTAGCTTTATTTAATCCTGACTATGTTGATGTGCATGATGGATTGTCCCTTTATCATATGAATATAAACCCTCTGAGGATTGTTCTCCCTCACCGCCTTACAAGAAAAAACAAATCATCAAAGTTGCATCCCTAAATAATCGTAAAATGATGAAACAAAGCCTAACTTTTTTTTCTTCCTTTCACCATCACTGTTCTGAATCCCTACTACATCTCTACCATAAGGTGGGGAAAAATCTAAAGAGCTGATAAAATACAGTGAAATGCAATTTAACTACAGAGAAATTACACCTTTAGTCACATGTTACTCTGACTTTTTTAATAAAGTAATCATACAGGGACAAAGTCATTTAAGATGTTTAATGCAGAATATTTCATCCATTTTAAAAATAATCCAATCTGATGTTATTTCATCTTATCTCTGAATATCTTTCATTTACAGTCCATGTTTTAGTCCGCCAGCTATATCTAAGTGTTATTAGTCCTTTATTGCAGTTACACAAGCTATTCCAAACCCACCGATATCTTCTGGATATGGAAGAAGCTGCATGGTATTACACTCATGTAACACCCACTAGCAGAACAACATCCGTGACAGTTTTGTCATCTGTATCTTTTCTCACCTCAAGGATCCTGTCATAACCATATTTCTCAACAAAACCCAGGAAGCAGACACCCCAGGAGTTCATCAGCCTCTTGTGGGGTGTTGCTGTCACTCTACATGCTACCTTTGCAATCCGGGGAATGAAACTCTCAATATAGACCTGCAAATGCAAACGCTCTGACTTAGGTGAAGAAGCTGTTCTGGCCTGTTGACTATGACCTTTCAGACAAAAGTGACAGAGCAATGAGTAAAAGTGCTATCATGTTGACTTGGATGCAGTCACACACTACAGACCTAAAATATATTATTAGTCCATGGATGACTATAAAGCATAAAGCCATGCCAGTGTACCCACCTGACATCTGCTCTCTCTGACCAGCTTCCACACATCGTCTCCGTAAGACTCCTTGATGAAGTCATGACTCTCACACAGAAGCCCATACATTATTTCTCACTGGATTGAAGCTCAGACTGACTAGCACTATATAGCAAGACGCCTCCCCAGCTGACTGACTTGCAACAGTCCTCCCCAAGGCACCTGCAAGCGATAAGAAAAGTTCAGAATGATGACTTTTTCAGGGCTGCAAGCTGAATATTAATGCATTTAGCTTTTAGCGGGAAGCTATAAAAAGACGTGTACTTATACTGCTGCTTTTGCTTTCTCCAGCTCTTCACTCTGCCAATAAGGATTCATCTGAAGGCCAGCGGGGCAAACGATTTTAAAGGCGTCCTAATTGCACAAAACCCTTGAGTCTGAATGGGACTCTTTTGTTCTTGTGTCAGCTGTCAGTGCCTGGTGGCTGTGCACCTCTCGATGTGACACAAACTCCCTGCGGAAGACGCCTCTCGAACACAGATGAGACCAATTTGAGAAACTTCTGCCTTCATTTTATCATCCTCTTGTTTGCAATAAAATTATCAATGCACAAAATCTGAATGTGTATGTGTGTGTTATTTATTAATTACTTTATCTAGCTCAGAGTAGACTTGAGTTATGAACTGTTTTCACTGTTCCCGACATGTGACTGAACCACACAAAGCAGATTTATTTTTTCTTTTAATGTTTAAACCTTTATGAGGGGGTTTTTCTTTTTAAAAAAAGCAAAATTGCTTTTTCAACTAAACAAACACTCTTAAATAAACCTTTAATGGGCAGAAACTCTTCAGCTTTTATTGTTTGTTTGCAGCTGATTTTCTGTGACTCGGGATGACTTCACATTTTCTTTCAGGCTGGGAGGCTTCCCACTGGGAGATAGTGGTATTGTGGAGCAGGGCAGGTGCAAAATCGATATCCAATCTCAGCAGGGATAAAGAAAATGGTTTTCCCCCCCTCCAGACTCCTGCTGAGCTCAATGAATCAATTTGGGGGGGGAAGAAAAACTGCATGATAAAATTAACTTTAGTTCAAAAAGGGCATCCAAAAATAAAGTTAAAGGTCATTACGCATTGTGCAAGGCAAAAAGTATTTATGCAGAAGTCACTATTGGAGTTTCTCTGCAGTTGGTAAACCAACAAATAAATTAAATCCAGATAGTAAAAGTATTGCATGGTTGCTTACTGTGATCATTTACACAGCCGAATAACTCAGCTAAAGATCTCCCACCTCTAGAAACTCAAAGAACAACCAAACTAGATTCAGAGCCACAACCTCGGATCAGTCCTGAAGCTCTTTCTCCAAAACCGCGTTCTAGTGTCCAAGTTTGCAACGGGGGAGGCTGGGGGCTTGGCCTCAGTGCGCAAGTGTCTGGACAGCTGCTGTCATCAAACACACACGCTGAAGGGATCCGATTTTTATCATCACAGAAGCTTGAGGTCAGGATGTAAATCTTTGTGCTCGTCCCTTTCCCTAAATCGCTAGTGCCACCCCTCCTCCTCAAATACTCCCTCGATCCATCCTCGCCCTCTTACCCCTCTGCTAAAATAAACTCAGTTAGGTAAGCACTGGAGGCATCTTGGGATGAGTTTTATACAGACTGCTGCCTCTGTGCTGAGGAGTGTCAGAGTGGAGCGTGGAAGCATCCCAGCAACAGTAAAAGAACAAACCACACAAACACCCCAACCAGCTCCAACACCCGGCAAACAGGCAGGCAGCAGAAGCAAGAGAAGCAGGTAAGGACTAAAATAAGGGGAGTGCAAACCTTTGTATCATCCAAATAAGGAGTGACATAAGACACAGGATTCATAAATGACTGTTTATCAGAAGCATGACTGAACAGCTAAGTGAATATTTTTATTTTCATTGTAAAGAAGTAATCTGCCCGTTTTGTTTAGACCCATGACCGGAATACGTGTGTACCAAAAAATCATCATTGACTATATGTATGTGAAATGAGTGCAGATTAAATGTAAACACTGACATGATTTTATTAATTTTAACTTTGTTTTGACAAAAACTGTTTTTTATACTGTTTTTATACAGTTTTTTGTTTTTTTGGTTGGTTGGGGTTTTTTTTTTTACTTTTCTACAGGCGACAGACAGCCTGTAAGGGTTTGAGGACTTTATTGACCAAGTTTATTATTTTCTTGTACTCACTTGATATACGATTTCAGCTACTTAACGGTTTGCGGTCTCCCTTGTCATAATTTGGGTTTCATGGTGCACCAAACGCTCTCAGTGACTGACAGGCCCGGACTGCAGGCACCCAAGTTTAGAGCCCAGAGTCTTTAACTTTACAGTCATGATCTTATGAATATGGTTTAGTTTTAGTAAAATAATTAAGACCTTCTCTTTTCGTAATTTTGCCTCTGTGCACCACCACAGTGGATTTATGATCAGACAGTCATGTGACTATAGTGTAGCCTTTAGGCTTTAATTTGAGGGGTTTAAAAAAATACATGAACTCTTTGGGAATCACAGGCGTTTTTAAACACAGTCCCGCATTTTCAGAGGATCATAAGTAATTGGATTTTGATTTACAAGCAGGTTCTTGACCAGGTGAGGCCTATCTCTGTTGTTATTCTGTGGCAAATTAAATATTAAAGATCTGAAGTAGCCAAATTAGTACAATTGGTATTTTCTTAAAATAGACAATCCTTATATTTGTATGTATGTTACTTTGCCCAATTATTTTTGAGGACTGTTTATAAAATTGGCTGCGATTCCTTGAAAGTTAATGCCATACTTTTATAGAACCCCTTGAATTAAAGTTGCACTTCAATCACATCTTGACTGTGTGATTTCAAATCTATTTTGGTGTACAGAGACACAGCTACAAGCGTTGTGTGATTGTCCAAATATTTATGAACCCAACTGTATGTTCCGATGCCTGTGTATAACGTTCAGCATCAATAATGCCTCTCCAGATTTGCATAATATGGATAGTCTCTGCAATTTGCAGGTAGGTGCTTTCCACCTCTAAGCTGGATAGTCCCCTTCTTTTTTAACCCACAGGATGCAGAGAATTTGTGCAAGAAGTTGTTTATAATCCATCTGACCAAAAGATAATTCTCTACTTAACATATTCAGTATGAAAAAAAAATTCAGTTTCTCGTTTAAGAAATTGGTTTTCGATCTTTTGTAATTTTTTGTAATCTGTATTTCTTACATTTTACACAGAATCCAAACATTTTTCTTTAAGTACTGGGTTACATTACTAAGGATTTGTGGCATATGGGTGAGGGGTGGCATAGCTAAGTTTTATCAACATCAGTGATATAAAAATATCTAATTATAAAATGTCACTAAATCAGAAAGAAAGAAAGACAGATTAGAAAGATTCTGTGTTTATGTTATATGGGAGAAATTACACATTAGCCCTTATACTGATGATGAAAATGTATGTGTTCCTTAGAGGAAGCTGTGAATGATGATGCAGTCAGACGTGAATCACATGACTAAGCAGAGGTTGTTGCAGACTAAGGGTCTGTCTAAGGAAGTCAGGGGAGGTAAGTGTATTTTAGATGCTTTGTTTTATTACTGCCTATGTCAGGGCATCAGGAAATAGAACTGACATATGTGTACAAAACATTTGCATATTAGTTTCAATGCTTTTATGCACGTTGGTCTACTTCTTCTTTTAGTTGGTCCCTTTAGATCATCTACCTTTATCCCATTATCTCTCACAGAGGCTCTCTGCATGTCCTCCTTCACTACATCCATCTTCTCTGTGTTTTTTTTTCTCGTGCCTCTATATTCAGCATCATTTCTCCATTATCCCTCTTCTATACGACTCATTCGAATCTTGTACATCCTGGTCACTCCCAATGAAAGTCTTAACATCTTCAGCACCACCTTCTGTCTTTTTGTCAGAGACACCATCTCCAAACCATACCTCATAGCAGGTCTCACTACCATCTTAAAAACCTTCCCTTTCCCTTCTGTCACAAATCCACCCCTAACACTCATCTCCACCCACTCCACCCTGTCTGCACTCTCTTCTTCACCTCTCTTGTGCACTGTCCATTGCTTTGGATCACCCCAGATATTTAAACTCATCCACCTTTACTGCATACACTCCTTGCATCTTCACCTTTCCACCTCTGTCCCTCTCATTCACACTCATGATTTCTGTCTTGCTTCTACTGACTTTCATTCCTCTTCTCTCCAGAGCATACCTCCGCATCTCCAGGCTCTCTCCCATCTGTTTGCTATTCTCACTACAGATATCTTCTGCAAACATCATAGTCCACAAAAACTTGTGTCCGATCTCATTTGTCAGCCCGTCCATTCAATTCAATTCAATAAAACTCTATTGATCCTGAAGGTTGACCCCGAAGGAAATTGGGTTAAGGCTGCCGACCTTTGCCAGCGCCATTTTTTTTTCCATCAATCATTGCAAAAAGGAAGGGGCTGAAAGTAATCCCACTCCCACCTTGAACCCTTCTGTCACTCCTACCACACACTTCACCAATCTCTCACTGTTCTCATGCAGGTCTTGTATCACCCTCACATACCTTCTACTCTTAACTTCCTCATGCAGGATCACAGTTCCTCATATTCCATAAAATAACGTGTGGATATGAGCCCATGTCCCATGTGACATATAGCATATCTGGGACCAACAGATTGAACTGAGCCAAACATCAGCACATGCTGGCCCACTGCCTGGAGAGAAATGAACTGTAGTATACTGAAATCCCCGAAAGGCCAAAGTGCTGTTGAAATTCTCTGCACATTCCAGTGGGGACCATCCCATTTGCACTGTTTGTTTTCCAGTTTTGGCCGCCAGCTACACTTTGAAACTAAGTCTCCTAAACTCAGCAAAATGTGACTCCCACCACTGAATTTTACACAAGCTGATCAAAGACAGCTCCTCCAGGATGGCACATGCCCAAACCTCCCCGAACACTTATCATGTGCAAGTAAGAGAGCCGCTCTTACACAAGTCTTTCATCCAAAGAGCCTATTTATATGCCGGTTACCCATGCAACCTTGGACCACAACAGACATTACACACCTCTTGACATCACCTTGAGGTTATTTGAGACCCTCCACAGTGCCGGGATATCACACAAGAAGAGACCCTGAGCAAAAGCTCTGAGGATACCAACTAAGTGAGGCTTCCCATGCTTTTACTTTTATATATAAGTCCCTCTCAGCTGTTTAATGTTGACAGAAATAAGAGGACCAGAGGGAACTTTATGATTTGCCAAAGGTCCTTAATAGCCTGTTGTTACTGCCCTTCTCCTTCCAAACGTCTGCAAGTTGCTGCCATCATTAATTAGCACCAACAGCTAAAAGTATTTATGGAGGGTCACATCCACGCTGCCTCACTGCACAAAATCTTGAAGCAAATTATTTTCTGTAGTATGAGCTGTAACTTAAAAAATGCCACGTGTAATCAGTTTTTAAAACATGAGTATCTCTTTGTGTATCCTGTTTTGCACAAGGTTTGAACCTGGGGAAGAAGATTAGCGTTCCAAAAGACGTGATGATGGAGGAGCTCAACCTTCTCTCTAATCGGGGTTCTCGCATGTTTCAGGAGAGACAGAAGAGGGCTGAGAGATTCACAGTAGAGAGTGCTGCCAACACCAGTAATGTAAGAAAGTGAGAGATTAGGAAACTGTTTCTCATGTGTATACTCTCTTGTAACAGCTTAGTGTGCTACATGGATCGAACAGTTACGATTAATAGCAAAAAAGCATTTTCTTAGCCCTTGTGCAATTTGTAGTACAGCAAGAGGCCACTTTACCTCACATCATGAAGAATTACTGCCATATCAGCATCACAACAAGGAAACTTGTTAGGAAAGTAATAAGTAAATTAACCCAGTATCTTTCCTAGGTTTATGCGGAGCCCATTCCTACCCAGCAAGTCATCCAAGAGGTGCAGGCAGGAAAAGAGAACCAGGCTTTCTCCATCCCTGGTAAGCATAGCCTGGTCATGAACCTTCAGAAGACTGTAGCAAAGAAGGGCAGTCCTGATGTCCTGGCTCCAGGTAATACACGACAATGAAAGGATTGCCAAGGACTGCCAAAAGCACAAGCCATGAGACTTGCTCGTTGCAATGCCAGTGCCTGGATAGAGGAAACGCTTGAGCAATGCATGGTCATTGTAGCACACTCTGGTTTGCAAGTGCTCACCTTTGTTTTGGAAATGCATCGGGCACATGGATTTGTTTGATGGTTATTGGTGCCAGGAGAGTTGGCAGTTTGTAGAAAGCAATTAAGTGTGAGCATCTTTGCCGAGTGCTGTTGTGTATTTGCCCCAACAGAAGGCACCGCTTACACTCTGACAGTGAGATAAGCACTGTTTATTATCAGGGATTCACACTGAGATCTAATTACTGTAGTTCCTATTTCCTATTGACAGGGGTGATATCAAACATATTCATATTAGATCTGTGTCTGCTTTAATAAGGAGAGCTTTTATGATTTTTATCTAGTGGGTTTTGAGTTTTTTTTAGTTGAGCTCATTTACATAGAATTTAGCACACACTCACAACTGAAGTCAAACTTTTTAGCCGCTGATACTACATTTTTGCTCATGTCAGGGTATTCCGGACCTCTGAAGGAAATTCCTCGTGAGAAGTTCAACATGACGGTAATCCCCAAATCCTACTGCTCACCATGGATGGAAGCTTTGGGAGACAATGAGGAGCTCCTGAACACCCTCAATACTCAGCTGCCCCAGCCCCCACAAAGACTACAGGCTTCCAACTACAGGTGCTTCAACAGGTAAATCTGCCCTTTCACCCCAAATAAATCAAAAAGTGGTCAATCTTAGTCTGTTAGAAGCCCACAGTTCTACAAATAGTCCCACAGATGACCTCACCACCTTATCCATCACTATCATATCTTCCCGTCGGCTCCGCTCCATGTTTCCATGGTTTGAAAATTAATCCAGTGTCTGGCTTGCACTTCCTTAGGAGTGACGTATCTGTGATGGCTATTTTGAACACTGGCTCTTGAAAAACGATCTACTGAGGGGTTGCAAGCTTTTAAATGGCCCCACAGGACAAACCAGCACACGAAAGAGAATCACGTCTCTCATGGCACACAAGGAATTGCATCACACAAGCGAGGGCAGGACAAAGGTTACGCTTGGGCAGACGGATAAACGGAGAATATATGAAAGACCAACTGGCTTTACTCACTTGAAGCTGTCAGATAAATAAATTCTGACAGCCAGGTTGAAACTGAAGCCAATGTGGAAGGATCTTTTTACACACTTACAGTTATTATGAAGGCTTAATTAAATCTGAACTCTAACAGTGAGAGCAGCAGTGTTAGTAAAGGAGGTCAAGTTCACCCCCAATGCCTGTTAGGGTTTTTTTTTTTTAACCGTTAAAAGAGCCTTCTGTTTAGAGCAGGGACTTCCAAATTCATATTAGGTATCATGTGAAAGACACCCGCTTTAAGGGAAGGAGTGTAAGCTAACACTTCTAGGTAATGTTCCACCATAAAGTGTTTACTTAACCACAAAAGACTCTTGTTTCTCAGATCTCCAATGCCATTTGGGGGCGCTGTGGCAAGCAAACGGGTGATCCCGGTGATCAGCTTTGAGGCTGTAGAATCCCAGCAACTTCCTGGCATCGCTCTGGACCGCATGTGCCGTCGCCCCAACTTCAACAGAGCACCCAGGGGATGGGGACCCGATTACTGCCCTGAATCTAATGAACTATGAAGAGAAGCTGACAGACTAAAAGAAGCTAAAGACTGAAACTCTGGCCTATGATCGCTCTTCTCCTCCTACAAAGACGAACCCTCTGTTAATCCTAAAGCACCGCAGGGGAGAAGAAGAAGAAAAAAAGTACTCCTGCATGATATACAAAGTGGTTTTCTACTGCCGAGTGGATTGATGAGCTGAGGCGAACTCCCAAGTTCATTACACACTCAGTCAAGTCCAGGACAATGCTGCCACAGGCTGATCAGTCCTACCTATTGTTCCTGTTTGTCACCTCGAGCAGTATCTGATCCCATCAATGTCTCAATGTCTGCCTGCCCTCTCCTTTCCCTTCACTCTGCAGCTTTACATCTTCTCTATTAATCAGAAGCTGCCAGACGCCGTTATACAAGTAATGATGAATAATGCACACAGAGACGATGGATGGAAAAAGTTAGCCGTTTTAATGACAAATGAAAACAATATTCAAAGAAAGCCTTACAATAAAGTAAGTCAGATGATGTCAGATAAAAAAGTCAACTGAAATTAACAGAATCTAACTGCATGTTATACTACACACAATGTGACAAATACAAGTTTAACCTAAGGAAAAACATTTTATATATACACACACAATGGTTCCTACCACAGGAGGCTTTGAAACCCGCTCTTGTTTTTAAAGTCTTTTAAAACGTTAGGCTCCGGTGTTCAGATGCCGTTTTGGCTACTTTTTGACAACTTGCAAGATCCTGGTTGTCGTCTCTCCAGACACAGATGGTGCTTCTTCACATCATTCACTGCTCTGCAGGTGGAGTATTAAAAAAAAAAAACATAACAAAAAAACCCGACTGTTTTCTATGCGATGTCCTGCTCCCAGACGTTGCCTTTGGGTTCACTGCCAGTTTGCAATGTGTCCTGACCAGGTTGAATACAAGGAGAAGAGCGACATCTAATAACAGCACGACTTCCCTCTGACTGCTAATCGCCATGACGTGCTCCATGTGCAGCATGGGCACCCATGCGCTGAGGATCCTGAGAGGGGTAGTGGATTTGACCTGGAGGTCTCATGCTCATTGGAGGGGGCATAGGCGGGGCCATGGGACCCATGTGGTGAAACATTGGAGGGCCAAAGCCTAAGGGAGCAAAGGAAATAAACATGCTAAGTATCTACAATTACAAACTGTGTACACCTATGTAAGTGACTAAACCAAGACTGATGCCTTTAAAAAAAAAAAAAAAATTCATAAACTATACTATAAAATACACATTAATAAGTCATAATTTTACCTGGAGGAGGTGGATTGATGCCTGGAGGTGGGGGTAATGCAATGTTCATGACAGCAGGAGAGGAGCTGGGGTCAAGGTTGAAGTAGTTGGCAGGAGGCTCTTCATCTAGAGCTGGCGGTGGAGGCAGAGCTAGTGCAAAGAAGAGCAAAGTTTTAGAAACTAAACAGGAAATGGCAACAGGCCAGCAAGATGTTTTTATGTCCGATTTTGCCAAATTAGCCCAATTCTACACGCACAGATTTCATAGTAACTCATTCACTGCCATTGACGTCTATAGCCATCAATGGCAGTGAATGAGTCAATGGGTTTAACTCATTCACTGCCAATGGCTGGCAGTGAATGAGTTAATTGAGAGTTTGTAAAACAACAAATAAGAATTAGATGCAGACATCAAACAGCATGCAACAGCTCGCTTTCTCCTCTGCTCGCTGTGTCTGACAGCTGAACCTGAGCTGCAGTACATACGCAGTCACAGCAGATGAAGTGTCCGTTCCACTTGGATTCACATGAAATCTGCAAATGTGGCAACTTCCTCCAAGGTTGTGTGGAGCTGCACACAATCTTATTTGTGCTCTAAAGTGCAACTACCTTGAAACACTGAAAAAAAGGAACGGCAGACTCTTTGCTTTACTCCAAAAGTCACATTCACTCAGCTTTTTTTCCCCTCTGCAGTGACTCTATTCCCCACCAGTGTCAGTACAGAACTGAAGGTTTAAGGGAGAAAAGCTAAAATGACTGGTGTGGGACAGATGATGAACTGAATAGCTCAGTATAAGATAAATAAGGAACATTTTCAACCCTAAATCAAGCACAGCTGAAATCCTGCCCATACACACCTACCACAAATGCTCAGCGCCGCAAGAACAACTCTAAATGTTCTTCATGCACACACACACATCCTCACACTCTTCGAGACTCACCTCCAGGCAGTCCAGGCACAGGATCAAGTCTGGTACCCATCTCACTGACACCATCTTTGATTCCCTCCTTTCCTCTTGCTGCCTGGGACCTAAATGGGCACACAGCACAAGTCAAACAATGACTAATGACACTGCAACATTCACCATCCAGGACAAAATCAATTTTAAGCCTCCTGCCTGACATAATTTGATTAAACTCTTTCTACATTTCCACTTTGAGTCAAGCATTATGTCAGGGCATTACCTTTAAACATGGCAAATTATCACTTTTAAAATTGACATCTTTACCTAAATGGCTCTCCTTGGTGGGGGTTTATGGGAGTTAAGCTTATAAATCAGATTGCAAAATGATGTTTTGTAATTTACATTGTTATGAGCCCCCTTTAATGGATTCAGTACCTTCTGGTGTTGCTCTTAATATTCACAAAGCTGGACAATGTTTAACTTTTGATCGGATTCTTACCTTCCCCACTTGACAGTGAGTCTTCGTCCGTTAATAATGAGTTTGTTGAAGGACTTTTCAGCAGCCGTTTCAGCTGACTGCCGCGTGGCAAACTGGATGAAAGCGCACTGCTGCCTTTGGACTATGGTAATGGTTCGGATTTCACCAAACTGGTAGAAGTGACTCCTGCAATGACACAAAATAGTGAAATAAAAATACTTTGTAAATTTTGCTGTGTTGCAGTAAGTAGAAATAACAATATCCGCTTGTGGCTGTAACCCTCTAGCCGGCAACAACAGCTGTCTAGCCTAATAATACATGTAGCGGAAGCTTTAGAAGAGTTTATTAAGCAGGCACGAAAGATAAGTGTTACCAATTTAGAATCTGACCAAACGTGACATATGACCACAATCTCTTCTTCTTTTCCTGACTTATTTCTTTGAGTAAAAGTCAGCAAATTGCTCTCGTAGAACATCCCATCAGCATTTTGTATTACTGCCAAACGCCCTTGCTATGCATCGCGGAGAAGGAACAAATATACATATGCTACGATCATTACAGTGTAATGCTATGATACATTATATTGTGGCAACATTCTATTCTGACACTGCACCGATCAATTGAACTGTCAAATGTACAACAATAAACGACTGTGGGATTTCTATAAAATATTCCTATAGGCCATATAAATGTCGGCACTCACAGGGCCCTAGGCAATGTTTATACAAAGTTTCATCAAGATTAGTGCACTTGTGTTGGAGGCGATAAGGAGCATGCAAAGATACATACGCTATGATCATTTTAGTATAATTAGACATTTGTATTTTGTATTATTCTAACCAGCTCATCTTTGTTTGTGCCTGATTTAAATAGTGATGAGAGAGATAAGATAGGAATGGAACAGATGGATGAATAGACAGCCAAAAACACAATGCCTCCAGCCACAGCTGTCCCGGGCATCGAGGCATAACAATAAATTATCACAGCAAGCTGTAAAAGAGGTCATTATGAAACAGAAATGCTTACTTGAGGTCTCCATCTGTAACAGTGTCTCCCAACCCCCCAATGTAGAGAGTGGTGATGGATTTGTCCTCTGGTGGGTCCAGTCGGGGCATAGTTGAAGCCCGCTTTAGTAATTTGTCAGCCACTGGGTCATTGATGCCATAGTAACGATCCTTTATGTTTTGGTCTGCTAGAGGGTCATCAGGATCTGTGGGCTTCTCATGCCTGTGTAAAGAGGGCAACAGAAAAACAATAAATATGATATGAAACTTCAACTAACCCATAGCGATGTCTTAATATATGTGAGCTGATATCAAAAGAAAGAATCAGCTCCATGGAGACTAGCATCATGGCACTCACCTGTAGGGACATTCCTCCCCTCTCTTACACTCTCCCTTGACCCAGAAGGAGCAGATGTGTGGCCGGTTCCTCTTGTAATATGGTGTGGTCCGAGCCAACTTCAGCAACATATCACTAGAACTTGGAGCCTTACCAAGCTGGCCCACTGGCCGAGTGCCATCGGAATTGGCTATCTGTAAACAAAGAAGTCCAGAGAGGCATGATGGATGGAAAATCTCTCTTATGTTTGCTTGAAAAAAAACCCACTGGATCAGACATTGGACCAGTAAAGACTGTTATCACTGTGCAAGCATAACAACTTAAAAAATAAACAAACCCAAACCAAAACAAACAAACAAAAAAATCATACTGCAGTCATGAGAAAGGAGCTTACCTCTCTCTCCATGTTCTGTGTGTAGTACTCTTTATTCACATCTGACCGAGGAACCTCATCTTTAACGGAGAGTCCAGTGTCTCGGACTTGGATAGGCAAACCTGTCAAACACAAGATATGACAGGAGGGTTACGCTCAGAACTATATAAATGAGGAGCTCATGAAATCTGCACAGCGACAAAACCCAGAGGAGACTCACCATACTCCAGGTCCAGCAGACATGTCTGACAAACATTTTTCATTTTACTGCAGGTCTGACAGACTTCTGTCTTTTTGAAACGCATCCGTGTTCCTGGACACCATCGGAACACTGTAAAGGGCCGAGCACAGATCTGATAGGCGGAGAGCAACGTATTAGAATAGAATACCCTTTTATTGTCATGCATCAAAAAGGCCTGTACAATGTGGGCTAAATATGTACAATTTAAACAGTTAAGGCACCCCCCCCAAACAAAAACAAAAAAAACATACCTTGCATTCTTTCCCATATTTTTCCTTGGTCTGTAAAACAAAGCATGACCATATTTGGACTTGCACATTTGCTGGTATTAACACTACAAGCAAATAGTTTTGAATTTGCTATGAAAGCACAGGGATGCTCACTCACCATACGAATGTAAGGATTTTCTCCTAAACATGTCTGACACAAAATTGGAAAATCCTGAGGAGAAAGAAGAACCGTGAAAATCAAGCACTGTAATCTTCGGTTTATCCAACAATTCCTTGAATTAAGTTATTCAACAGACCGACTTGGCTCCCCATCTCTGCTTCACCTTCTGCTGTGAGCACCTTGGCACACATACAGGTAAGACTGAATACAAGACGTGCTATGGGACCTATTTTGCCATCTGTTAAAGGATGCTGTTTCAGTCCAAGTGCTGGGTGCTGAAAACGGCCTTGCCCTAATCCGTCTCACAGACAGCATCAGCCAAACATCTAAATATAGGCAGATCTTATGGCTGAAGCGACATCTACATAATCTAGGGTTGCAAAGTTTATAGACTAGCATCTTAACAAAACCAACATTGGATAAATGCCCTGTGGTGTCATAGCTCAATAAGGGAAACTGATTTGTTGCCTTATAGGGTAAGTAATGTTTAGGTAGGTCACAAACACGTTTTTTGTTTCCAACTAAGGACTGGTCTGTTTGTGACCTTATATAACAATCAGTCGCTGTTGAATTTACCCAGTAGTGTAAAGACTTTATTTTTAGACTAAATTTTCTCTAATATTTTCGCCGCTGTCAAACCTGCCTAACAAGAAGGTTCGTTTTTTCAGTGTCACTTAGAGCGGTTCCACCCAGGATGATGTGGCTTTTTTCGTTTCCTCATATTCATTTATATAAGAAAATTTTCACCCGCCTACCATCGTTTTAGCATTGTTAGCCTGCTAGTGCTGGCCTTTATAGGTGCAGCCAGTTAACTATCACACAGCGCAGGGTTAGGTTACGTTAGCAATGATAGCTGTAAGCTCAGTCACTGTCGTTTTTACTACACTCTATAATATGGTCTCGTTGGATCCAGTGGAAAAAGGTATGTTCCATGAACTAATGTAAAATATCGAAAGCAATAATGTACACAGGTGAGCTAATGAAGCTAGCAGCCACGCTTCTACAACTAGCTACCGCTAGCTAGCGGAAGGCTAACTATCGAGAAAACTGACTAGTTTAATAAAAAGCTAGCGTGTTTCGCGATTATATTAACTCGTGAAATGAAACGTAACATAATGTGCTTCAATCATTGAAACCACTCGGCAACATATAACCCCAATAAAACGTACCGCGTCTTCCCAGTTCTGTCTGTTGTAAGTGTTGGAGCCTAGGGAAGTCGCCATTTTGCAGACTGTGGATCAACCGGAACGGGTTGCCAGGTCTGTGCGTGAAAAACCACCCCAATAGCCAATCAAAACTGGCGCCCATATCAGCCAACGCTGGTAGCGGTACAGGCAGCGGCTGGCAGAGAGTACCTGTAAGTGGATGACATGTGAACTAGAACCAGTTTGCTGGGATATGTAAACATGTATATAACTGCTTAGTCATGTATGCATTGTTTCATTTCAAAAATGAATTTGTATTTATAGATGTACATGTAAGTTCCTTCGAAATGTGTCTACTTAACCAATAATTTTTACCCTGCAGCATTTTAACTGTAGCCCAGTTCCGGGAAAACTGCAGAACTGGCAACCCTGCAGACCTCGCTCTACACTGGGCGAAAGGCGACACATTTTTAAATTGACTATTGTTTTTACTTTTAAGTCTAGGATGTGTTCTATCAGGAGTCAGTTTGAGGATGTGTTTCGTTTAGCGGGATGTGGGAATCTTGTGTAGTCTGCGAGACTACAAAAGCCCACAATGCACCGCGGGCCAGATAGCCACGTTTCACCTAAGGATGTCGCTCTATTTCAAGAAACTATCAGGTTTACGATAAAATAAAATAAAATGGGAACGTAAATATCAGAGAATAACTGTCAGTATAGTAGAAATACTAACCCCGACTTGTCCATCTGCACCTTGGGTGTAAACCTGAGTGTGTTTTTGTTGTGTGCTTTTCCCTTTGGCTCTATGACACGAACTGTTAATTGTGAAGGTGTATAATATTAATTTACCCCAAAAACAGAAAACGCAACCGGTGTTTTTTGAGTATGTCTTAAAAAAAAATCAGTGACCTAATATGATATGGCTTACAGCCTGTGGGGAGGTTTAAAATGACTTTAATGCTTTATTTGCTTAACTGAGGTGCTGATACAGAGATATTTGTTGTAAACAAAGGCTGTAAAGCGCTATTTCCGGAGACAGGGAAAAACAGAAGACAGACAGACTGCTTGGTTGACGTGTGAGAGCTCGTGTAGGCCAATTGTGTCCTCGACACACACACACACACACACACACACACACACACACACACACACACACACACACACAGAGTTTGTCTATCCACCTGCTCTGATTCAGGTCAGGGTGTCTTTGCGGTGTGAAACTCCAATTAGTGGGCCAAAGGATGTTGAAGATTACAGATGGCAACTAAGTCCCTAATGTTTATTTAAGGTCAGAGAGGTTGTGGAGTCAGAGGGCAGGGATTAGATGGAGGTCTGGAGCACTGGCAGCATGCAGCTGCCCTTTAGCAAGTCAAGATGAAGCGTCTGGGATTCTTTATGATCACCTCCAAGTGGAAAATCCCCATGTTGTCCTTTTTCTTTTGATCTCTTACCTAGATTTAGGATTTCAAGTGTAAACTGGTTGAATTCTATCAGATAGGTGGCTCCATTTGTTAATGATTGAGGGTTTGAGTAATCATATTTACATAATAGGGGAGCAGAAATTTCCACTGGCCTTGTCCTGTTGTTTTTCTTCAAATGGGGTGAACAGACAGTCTCTTGCCCTATAGCACAACAAAGCAAACCTTTTGGGCACAGCCCTTTTGTCCTAATGAGTTTTCTGACCCTTTCTCCTTGATCATGTGAGCCAGTTGTTTTGAAGAACGGCTTTGTCTCGGATTAACCGGCCTGTAATTAAAATCACCAACTGCAAGAGTCACAAGGTCAGAGGACGTGTAGGTGTGCTGCCGCATCTCAGATGCTTCGTGTTACAGAGCTGCTTCAAGAAGTCATCGCCTTGATACTGTGTGAATCTGTTTGGCACATGACACGACAGACAGTTGGTTGTTATTTAGGCTATTATGGACCGTCGTCACCAGTTTTATTGCAGATGATTCAAAGATATTGATGTTTGCTGCGAAATGTTTTGTATTATTAAGCATCACCAAGACTATGGTTGCAAATACAAGTATTCCATTAGACATATCCTTCACAAGATAATGAAAATACCATAGTGTGAAAGGATAACTGTAGTAATGCAGTGATAAAGCCACTATGACTCAACACTGTGTAAGTGCTTCTTATAAGGAAACAGAGACTGATGCAAAACCGGTTAAATGACCTAAATGTTGGCTCCTTGTGCGCATAGCATTCCTTTCCCTCAACTACCCCTTTTCCTAAAAAAAATATATCAAAAACTTTTAAGTGCAATTGTAATAGTTTTCGACAAATGTGGAAGCACAAGAAGACAAATAATCTCCGCATTGTCGATCAGGGACGCTCCCGCAGTAATCTCCTGCAGGAACAAGATCGCACAGTGATTTCTTTGAGGAGTTCTGTAGCTTGCATGCATGCATGCGCATATCAGAAGGAGGAAAAATGCGCCGCGCTGGCGCCTCCTGACGACAGTTATGGGCTACTGCCTGTGCACAGAGCTGCAGGAGAGAGGGTCTTTCTCACATTTCCCGATTTCCCCCAGCCGAGTCCGCTCTGCCCGCTTCCACATCACGGCCGACAGCAAACCGAGACGACGTGAGCCCGGCGCGCTTAAATCACCACATTCAACCCGGCCGGCCTCCTGTGCACAACATCCGTGCGTCGTCACATACGGACAAGGTGAGTGAAAATCGACACGACCGCACGGAGCGTCGCGGTGTTTTTGCTATTTGGTAGGCGACCGAAAGCCTCGTCGCTCGGTCTCCCCAGGCCAGGCTAGTTGTCTGGCGCAGACGGAGATGAGGCCAGTTTTTTTTTCGGCCTGATCTCCCTCTCTTTCTCTCTCTGCCCACTAGCTGGGAACATAAAGCCCCGGCGTTGTTATTATGGTGGCGGCCCCTCGGCACAGATTTCACGCTCGTCCACGTAGCAGCGGTGATCGAGGGGCTAACGTTATTGTCGTGGAGCGCGTCGGGTGGAAGTTTGTGCTCAGGATAGAACCGCTCCGTGATTTTCACGGGAATTCCTTTATCGAGGGGACCAGACGGCACAGCTCGGCACCGAGCAGAACTGCTTTCTACAACTTTGTGGCTCAGTGTGCACGGTGTTAGGAAATTATCGCCCTCCCATAAGTTTGCGCTATCCGGCCGCAGTGTTAACAGCAGACCTGTTACAGTGCTGTGGTTAAAAAGGCGAATGATAGTGTGCGTAAAATAACAGATTTATGCGAGTGTCTGCTGCGCGTGGCAAGGTGGACAAAAGATTAGCACGGGAGTGTAACTAGTGCTTTAATATGACTTCATTTGATTTAGGTGATCATATTTTTGTCTTGAAACTTGCTTGTTCAAAGCTGTTATTATGGGATTTATCAGATACCTGTAGGAGTCATCTAAATGCTGGTGTTTGTTTATTGATTTTTCTAATTTACTAACTGTTTACAACTAATAATGTGAAGCTGATTAGGTCAAATTATTAACCAGATGAGGTTTTTTTGTATTCTGAGAAAGTGGGACATTTTCAAATGCACGAGAAATGCACCCGGTTCTGATATGTTTACATGTGGCTTGGTGGTTGTTGTAAAAGGGCTCCAGCCATGCACAGAAGGAAGGCTCAGATACGATTTGTGTCTTCTCTCTGTGAGCCTGCTTTGTTGCTCTTGTCTGGCGTAAAATGGAGCAAATGCATGCCTCCACCAAGCACCGCATCCGTTAAAAACTATAAACACTTAAAAAAAAAAAAAGAAAAGAGAGAAAAAAGGGGGGTAGGCAGTCCAGACCTGCCTGAAATCTGTTGCCTTGGGGCGTTGGAGCATGGAAGTGTGCACCTCAAGTGACTAAGAGATTACTAAAGAACAGTGACTCACGCTCAGAATGTATTTGGCAAAGTCACAAGGACTTTCCCTGCATTTTGCCTCAGCTGCAGAGCAAATTTTTGCAAGTGAAAAGCAGTGCCCTGCTGATTTTATGTATCAAGAGATTCATTTGACCATTGCTTAACTTTTTTTTCTTTTCCTTTTTTGCTATTCCCAAGCCATGTGTTGTTTATCAAATGTCCCACCCTGCATCTGTGGAGAGAGAGAGAGAGAAAAAAAGTGGGGCTTATTCCATTTTCAGATTATATTTTTTTAAGGAGTGAGGTTGCTGTCATTTGTTTGTCAAAATTTTGTGGAAAGCCAGATCCTAAGTTGTGTTCTATTTATCCGTGCCAACTGTTTGTCTGGTTGTTCTAACCCTCCATCTGACTGCTCCCACTGGCTGCCAACCATGCTGTGATCTAGCGCTTTCAGCTGATGAAGGCTGCCACTGCTGCCGCATCCATTTGATCATATATCAACATCTTTTCACTTAGATATACCTGTGAAACAGCGCAGCAGGGCTACAATGCCTACACGCGCGCACACACACACATACACGCAGGTTGATAAAATAGCGCGGGTATGATGCTGTATGACAGATCGCGTCACCGAGGCGCGTCTTGAGCGTTTATCAGAATGAGGCATGATCACAGGCAGTATGTCATTGTAGATTTTAAGGTTTTAACAGGGAACAGAGGGAGATCGGCTGTCGATCAGAGGCTCCAGCCCTTCGTCATTGCTTATCTCCTTGTAGAGGTGGATGTAAATTTAATTGTAAGCAGTAACTATCATCACATTTAAAGCTATGTGCAGTAATTGTTGGGAGCTGCAGGGCCCAACAACTTGCCAGCGCTTGTATTTTTCCATGTCACTGCTCCTTGTAGCTCCACTCTGTGTGTGGGGGGCTGACCTCTCTTTAGTGTGAGGCCGAAGCCAGGCATCTTTCCAAACTCAACTCCCCCCCCAACAACCCTCAACCTTCTCTGCTGGTTATAAGCACTGCTTTGTGCCACAGAGCTGCTCCCTATGGTTTTTATTCACATATTACTACAACACCACTAGCTCCACAAGATACTGGAATCTGCAATTCGACGTAAACCCAGCTAGAGCCTGCTGTCTGACAGACAAAGTCAGATGTTCCCTCATTAAAATGAAGCTTTTGGATTAATAAGCCAGAGGTCGAGAGGCAGATTGCGCCACTGTAGCCTCTAAAAAGTAGATTGCGTTTAAGTGTCTTTTCTGTCCCGGAATGTGGAGGTGGCATTTTTGGGCTTAGGCTGGGCTACCATGAGGCGT